TGTCCAAGGCCAGGTTGGACGGGGCTTGGAGCAACCTGGGCTAGTGGAAGGTGTCTCTGCCCATGGCAGGCGTGGAACAAGATGAGCTTTAAGTCCCTTCCAACCCAAACCATCCTGTGATTGTATAAGACAAGCGAGGCACAAAGTTTAATGCATCACCCACAGCACATGGATAGTTCATAGCCACAGCCAGGACAAACTATTCCACCAGAAATATGGAGTATAAAACACACGTGTGGCACTCACAGCCTCAAGAACAGGGAAGGAACGGGATAAAAAAACCCCAAACCACATTCTACTTGCTAAGAACATCGAGGTCTTGGTCTGTTGGGTGGTACTGCCCTTGTGACCCAGGACACAGGTATGTGAACACCTCAGAGGAAGAACTTCCCTGGGGAATCTCTCCTGACAGCCCATCTTGTGCGACAAAAACCTCCTCCAGAGCCCCAACGATTTAATCACGGTGAACATCCATCCCTGCTTCTTGGAAAGGAAAAGGAGACACGGATACTGACACAGTTTCATTCCTTTTACAGCCTTGTGAGGTCCTCAGACAGCCTTGCTGATGGGCCACAAGAGGATTTTGGCACCCTGTTCCCTGAGCACCATGGATAAGCTGTTCCCAGCACGCATGACTGAGCAGTGTCAGGACACAGACGATGGGCAATATAATAAACATCAGGAGCTTTGCCTCACTCCTGCTGCAAACAGCTCGTAATCATGAGCTTCCAAAGCCACTGCAGCTTGAAACCTCCTCTCTGATGCTATTAAGATGCTAATAATTGTGAGTCTTGTCCAGCTCTTGCAGCCACAAGCCTCTCTCAGATGCTCCAAGTGTGCTAATAGCCGTGTGCCTCAATAGCTGCTGCTGAGTAGAACTCTGCTCTGTGATGTTGTAAATCGACTAATAATGATGCTCAGCTGATCCTCAGCAAAAGAACAGCCTAGAGAAAGAGCATGGATCTCTAGGAAAGAGCATGGGCTTAAGGAGAAAGGATAGGGGCCTTGGAAAGAGCACAGACCTAGAGACAGGGAGGTGAATCCCCAGGAAAGCACACGGAGCCAGGACAGACCTCAGCAGCACCCAAGGCTATGATCTCCACCTCTTCCTCCTGGCCAAAGACCCTTCCAAAAAATAAAAGCCTCTCTGGGGGAGAATACATCAAATAAACCCCCTCTACCTATGGGATATCATCTTCCAAACTTCCTGGATGCCTCGTTCCTGTCTCCTCCCTGTTGTGTAGTGGAGCCTTCACTTTATTTTCACTCCTTTCCACAGTTACCTGAACATCCACGAGCAGAGAGCACCGGGCCAGAAACAGGCTCATCCAAAGCATCACTGGGACTTCCCTCCAGCTTCAGCCTCAAATGACATTTGCTTTTTGTTACCTCCACCAGCTCTAATCTCCCTGCTTTTCCCAGCTGCTCCATAATCCAAGAGAAGCACCCCTATGCCAAGGCACCAGGACACACAGCCCAGGGGTGTAGCTTAATACCCTCCAAATTTAGAGCTGGACATTGGTCCACTGGTATAACTTTTAAACATTCAGTAACTGTTCTATATCAGGAAACTGCTCCACAGATACCCCTAAAACTGTTTTGCATCTACTGGGAATTCCCTTTAGATTTGAAAGGGAGGGAATAGCTGCTGTCAGTGCACTGCCCTCACCATTTCTGCCACTCCAGGAAAACTTCACAGGGGCTACGACTCTTGCAGGTAAAATTCACGCTGTGATAAATGTGCCCCAATGGTTTCAGGCTCATTCCACAAAATGGCTCGGGTTCCTTACACAAATCTGGGGATCTGAGGTGCCCAAGAGAGCAATTCTCAAAATATCAGACTCAAGTCTCGGCTACCCAGTGTGCTGGAACACACATCCTGCTCATCCCTCTGCAGAAAATGCAGTGATCATGGCAAATTACAAGCAAAGCCCTGAAAGTAGGTCCCACCACCCTCCATCTCTGCAGCAGAGCAGTGGGGAAAAGACCAAGGAAATAAAGAAGAATGTGTCACCCATCCCAGCTCTCCAAACCTTGCAGGTCAGTGCTTCAACCACCTGGCTGTCCTGACTCACTACACTTCCTGCTAAAGTTGTGGGGAAAGAAAGATGGAATTCGTATTGGAGTGGAATTCCCACATTTTCAGTGGAAAAGATGGATTCAGTGCAGAGCACAGCTCCCTGATGTGCTGCCTGTGGCAAAAGGGGAAACCTGGGCTCTGATCCCTGCTTCAAGGACAATATATTCTGCATTAAATAGCCAGCAATTAAAATGCACAACCAGTCCTCAAAGCTGCAATCTCATTATAAATAGTCACTGAAATAAAACAATTCACCAGTCAAATCATTCCTACAACCACTGGAGGAGGCAGGGAGGTGAATACCCACCCCAAGACCTTGCCTCTGTCAATACTCAGCTATTCATGCAAAGCAGAACAGCACTAATGCAGGCTGGAATTCAGCACACATTCCTGCAGGCTGGATGGGGTTCAAATTTCCTGGAGGTAGGGAGGTAACTGAGCCGGGGTGTCCCACATCTGAGGTGACCACAGGAACCTCTGAGACACACCATGAAAAGAAGCTGCTGCTGCTGCTGCCTCCCTCTCCTCCTTCCCCTGGTTAAACCCAGCCTTTAAAGCTCTGCATTTTCACAGAATCACAGGGAATGGTTTGGGTTGGAAGGGACCTTAAGGATCATCTCATTCCAACCCCCTGCCACGGGCAGGGACACCTTTCACTAGCCCAGGTTGCTCCAACCTGCCCTTGGACACTTCCAGGGATCCAGGGGCAGCCACAGCTTCTCTGGGTAACCTGTGCCAGGGCCTCCCCACCCTCACAGGGAAGAATTTCTTCACATAATCTAATTCCTAAAATCTCACCTGCTTAGAGTGCTGATAACAGCAAGGTTGTGGGTTTTTTATCCCTGTATGGGCCACTCACTTAAGAGCTGGACTCGATGATCCTTGTGGATCCCTCCCAACTCAGAATATTCTGTGATTCTATAATTACAATTCTATAATTCTATAATTCTATAATAGATTCTAAAATCTAACCCTAACACCTAATCTAAACCTACTCTCTCTCAGTTTGAAGCCATTCCCCCTTGCCCTATCCCTGCCCTGTTTTGCTTTGTGAAAGCTCAAGGCAAATATGTTATGTTTAGCACGAGAAAAACGTTTTGTGAGGGTAAAAAATCTCCTTTTGGATGGGGGGGAATGGAGATTTCTCTCCATTAACTTTCTGATTCTCCCACTGATCTCCCTTACTCCCTCCACCCCTAAAAATAGCCCATTATTCACACCACCCAGGAACAGATTAATCCCACTGAAGTCAAGGGTAGCTCTAAGACTTCTGAAAACTTGGTTCACTTCTAATTTAGGCACCAGTGAATTCAGCAGATTAACAGGTGTCAACATATTCATGCCTAGGGCTTAATCAAAGCAAAAGGCATTTGGGCCCAGATTTCAGCAGGAGCAGAACAAAGCTGGGATGGTTATTCCATGAGCACACACGTTATTCACTGGTTCACAAGCCATATTATCATGTTATCTCCACCCATATGTGTTATTCACTGTGCTGCATATGTGCATTCAATATTTAATCTTGCAATGGCACTTGGGGACATCGATTAGACACGTGTTATATCTTTTAGAACACAGAAGAGGAGAGAAAATGAGGGATATCTGTGCACATAGGGGTGTTTCAAAGTGTTTCAAACCCCCAGAGGTGAAGCCCTTCACCTTTGTGCACAGAGCTCCTGGGAGTCTTTAAGCACTCTCCTACCACATCTTCATGGTGGGAATTTTACCTGGGATGTGCAACACCTCTCACTTCCACAGCATTAATTTCTGCCCATAGGCAAGATCCTCAGAAGTGCCATAAAATATGCACTTACCTCATTCCTACTGTCTAATCATAATTTCAAGAGAATGAGGTAACCAAGCTCACCACCAATAAATTTATCATCATTGTTCAACCCAAGTTTCCTCCTTTTTTCTTTCTTTTTTTCATTATTAAATGAAACCTGTTCCCAACTCTGCTCTCGTCTTAATGCATTTATGGCACTTTGAATAACGATGCCCTCAGTGGGAGGCTCTCTGAATTCCACCCTGAATTCCAAATATCCTGCTGGAAAGACACTAACTTGAGATGAGGTGCCTGCAGCCAGTTCCCAGTTCCCAAAAGAAAGGACATGTCCCACTGTTTGCAGTGCAGAGACTTCTGGAAACTTCTCCACAAGGCACCTTCCCGACATAGGTCAGGGGGGTTGAAGTCTCCCAGCTGTGCTTTTTCCACTATTTATCTCTAAGCTCAGGCAACCAGGCTGAGACACCTTAGGAAGAGCTGAGCCATCCTCACAGCCCCTTAAAAATCAAGATTTTTATCGACTTTTGCGTTTCTGAGCATTTTGGAAAAGCCTCAGAACTGCATAATACCCGTGGGTTTGACAACAAGACTCTGCTATTGCTTGGGGCTTGCAAAACATGGATAAACAAGTCCCCTGATCCCAACATTAAGACATAATTTCTGATTAACAAGTTGAAGGTTCCTTTGGCTTCCTCTCATCCTGTTGCTATAAATTCCTGCCCAAATTTCTCAGGAGGGCGGAACTTGAATCCATTCAGATGTACCCATGCAGTAATAAATAAAATAATAATTAATAGGTTACTCAGATAAAGGCTTTCCATCTTCCAGCAGAGGAAAGTATTAGTTAATTAATCATCAAGTTGGCATTAACTTATCTTTTGGCACCTACAACAAAATGTAAATCTGAAACGAGTAGGGGGGTGGGTGGCATGTGGAAACAAAGGAATAAGAAGCCAACAATAGTTTTGGAAATGGATGACAAAATCCAAATGTTCTGCCTCACTGCTGCTAAATTAAGAGCTGTGTTATCAGTGCAAAGATTAAAAAAAGAGAGATTTCCCTCTGAACCTGAAGTCACACTCGGGAGCTGCCCAGGACACGACAGCAGCGCTGGAGACAAGAGGATTCACTCACCCTGAAAATGAGTGGGACTAAAAAAGGATCTGCTCAGTTCTTGATTTCCCCAGACACGGTTCTGTGGAGCAAAAGAAGAAAGAAGGGTGTTAATTCCTCCAATCCACCTTTGCCTTCAGCCCTTTTTGCCCCAAATGCCCTTTTGCACACCAAGTGTAAAAGCTCACGAGTGAGATCCTGGCTTTAGTTGAACACTGTTCTGGGAATTATTTTCATGTGAAAAGGATGAGAAAAACTGTTTTCCCACCTTCCACCAGAGCTGCTGAACAGAGATGAAAGATCCTCAGATGGAGTTGCCTTTTCTCCAATTGATTTTTTTGGCTTCCTTTGAGTAAAACTCACTTTTTCAGGGGGAGGCCAGTTCCACAAACACGTGCATAATGCTCAATGTATGCACCAATTAATGCTTTGTAAAACACAGCTAAAATTAAAACCATTACAGCTGGCACTTCTACCCCAAATCCAGATGAGAGGCAGCAAGGGAAATGATTACACAGGTTTCTTCCTAAACTCCAATTAATAAACATTTGCTTCAGTTTCATGACAAACGTTTTGCAACCACCTGTGGGTGTTTATTTGATCAAAGGAACTGCATTCCTTCCTGCCCAGGCACAGGCAGATCCCTGCCTGGTAAAGGAGGCAGAGGATGGGTGTGCTCCTTGCTCCTCCAAAAAGCCATTTTACTGCCAAATTAATTGGGAACCAGGGAAGGTAGAAAGACTCCCTTGAACTATCTTTGCTCCTGCCTTTAATTCAATACATTCTAACCAGAATTAGCCTCCCAGGAGTCCTCCTATCACCCAAGGCTCTCTGGAGTCTCTAAACCCAGTGCTGGCAGAAGGGATGGAGGCACCTGACACAGGGCAGCTCCAGAAATCAATGTGTTCCACAAAGCCAGGTTCAATACCCACAAATCAATGTATTTCTAATCAATGAGTCTCTTCAGGCACAGCACAGAGCCCCACAGCTTCTCAGAGAGCCCCTGCAACCCACCCAAAGGAAAACCCAATCCTTCCCCAGGCCTTTCTGCCACCAAAACAACACGAAACCCAACAATTCAGCACGTTCTGACCGAGGGCACAAAAGCCACCAACACGTGGTCTCAGCTGCATCCAAGTACATTCAGAGGCTGCATTTTTTACCCCCAACAAGCCCAGCCATGAGGGCTCACAAATCACCAGCAAAGGGATGTAAAACACCCCTGGCTCTCTGAAGAAAAAGAAGACGCGTTTTTAGACGTCGGGTGATTTTGTGTTGTTTGTTTTTTTTTTCCCCCTGAATCTTGCACTCATTATTTTCACTTCAAGAACCAAGTCAGATTTTTTTTCTCTTTTTTTTTTTTTTTTCTGTTATTTTTTTTTCTGGTTATTTGAAGCCTTTAGATTTGTGAGTCGTTCTGCAAGCCAAAACACGCTCCCTCTTCATTCATAACACCGAGGCTGCTCGGCGTTAAACAGCCGATTATCATGAATGAAGTGGGTGTAACTTCCTTGAAATCCTCCAAAGACCTGTCAAAGCAGAGCTACTGCAGCTCAGCTTTCTCTCCTTGAAGTGCCCAGCTCGTTGGGTTAATTGTTCCACTCTGATCCCCAAATGTGCTCTCCCTGCCTTCAAAGCACGAGGAGGTTTCGTTTTCCGAGGAGGAGGGAAAGGGGAAAGGGTGGGGAAGGGAGCCTCGGGATAAGGGTGGAAAGTGGGGCTCTGTCTCAACCATCAAATTCAGATTTTCTTTTGGAACTTAAATTCGGCCTCATCCATTTAAAAGTATGGCAGACAAAACCTCACAAATCAAAGCCCTGGCCTGTTTTACATGGATAATCAAGAGCCTCTGGCTCTTCTTCCAAGAGGAAACATTTAACCCTAAAGGGAAGAGGACTGATTTTATGGTAATGCCCTGGCCAGGGACTTGATAAATTTAAATCTGACTCCAGGTCTGCCATTCTCCACCCCTTTTCCAACCTTTTGGGTTATCACTCTAAAAACATGCTGATATTTGCAAACTGTCTTTGAGCCCAAAGACTGAAAAACCGCACTAATAAATGAACATAAATTCAATCCGTGCCTATGAACTTGTTTAATATAAAGATCCTTCCTTTAAAATGACCATTACCTTGAAAAAAAAAAGACCTGCAGGTTCCCAGCTATTCATCTTATCCCACTTCAGGACACCAGTGGATGGATCTTGGCCAGCAATAAGTTGTGATCACACCACTGGCTTTGGTGGACCCATCAAATGTTTGATCCATGTCTGCCCTCTTGACTTTTACAGCCTGGCAAGTTAGAGATGGCTGCAGAAAACCCACTGAGGAAAAACAAAACCACAAGGACTCAACACACTTAACAAGGGTTAGTCTCAGGAAACACTGGGAAAAGTGGCACCAGCGAAAACTATTAAATTTTTTGTATTTCAACTCAGATTTTCTGCTAAATCTCATTATCTCGCCCACAACCCAAACAACAACAACAACAAATCTTGACAGTAGTTTCACAACAACAGTTTTTACACATCTTTTAACAGCTCTAACACTAACAAAGGCTGCTGCTTTGAGGGGAAAAAAATATAAATATTTGTCCAGCATTTTGGAAATCTCAAAAGTAGTAACACACTGCAGCCAATTCCACTGCTTCCCACCTGCTCCTGATTCCTTTATCACAAACAGGGGATGCCAACCTGGGAGCATCCTCATTTGGCTGGACACTGTCCTGGAGGTGCCCACAGCACCACCTGCCAAAAAATCCACCTCTCTTCCTCGCTTATCAGCAAATGGGAATCACAAGCCCACGTCCCCCAGGGATTATTCTCCTCCCGTTAAAGCCAGCAAGAATTTCGACACTGGTTGAAAAAGCAGCCAGAGCTGGCTGCCACACCAGCAGATCTGACAGGTTGCATTTTCATTCTCATTACTATTATGGGCACGAGGATTCATTTCTATTTATCTTTAGCTGGCATTCAGTCCTGGATTTAAACTGCATCTGTGGTTGCATTGCTGTGAAATGTATCACTACTATGACTCACCCTGCAAAGGACACGTTTGTAAACTGACCCACCATTGACAAAATCCTCTCTTTCTTCATTTGTAGGAGGCGAGATGAGGCATAGGTTCCTTGTCTGATTCATTTCCTGGGGAAATTTTTACTCTCTGCATCTTTTTCAGCCCTTATTCAGTCAGCAAGTAGTGAAGTGATTAATACCAAATCCATGCTTGACACAGAGTGGAAGGATTCATTCAAATTCTTTTAAAATCAGCGCTTAATTAATTGCTTAGAAAAACAACCCATTGCCAAAAATGTGGGGGGTTGTTTTTTGGCTTTTTTTTTTTTTTTTTTTTTCCCCTTTTTTTTTTTTTTTGAGAAAGCTTTTTCAGTTGAGAAACTAATTACAGGCAACGGCACACAGCAAAATGCACGAAGGACAAAATCTGGCACCTTTTGAAAAATCAGCCCCTCGGAAAGGAAGAATTAGGAACCTGGACAGAGCTCCAGGCAGCTAATTCACTTACATCCAGCTCTGGTCCTGTATTCCAACACTGCAGAAATCCTGGGAGAGCTGGGTTATCTAAAGCCTCGCACAAACACAGACAATGATCAGCAAATTAAAACTGCCAGAAATAAAAGATAAGCCGAAGAGAGCCCTGTGGAAACTGCTGCAAGTTTCTTGACAATCTTTATCTACCTGATTATTCATATCAAGACAGTACTAACCAAGTCCAGATCGGGATGGGCTTGGGAACAATCCCTGGGGCTTGGAAGGCTGTGCAGAACTTGGCACTCAGGATCAGGCTTATTTCTCCATCCTATCGGGGTGGGCAGTGTTAGCCTACAGAATTCGGGAGAAAAATGAGCATGTCCTTTCCCTTCATTTCTTCTCCCTCTCTCTCTCTCTCTCTGTCTCCACATTCTTCTCCTCTCGCCTTTTTCACTGCGAGCACTGAATGATGGGATTTTTGACATCAGAGGAAAGTCATCCCTTCTCCACTCCCCCAGCTCCTGGCTGCTTCCTCCTTAGACACGTCTGTCGTTTGCATACTATATCCCCGCTCAAAGCACGGGATCAGCTGATCCGACCACGGCATCATCCAACTAAGCATCCTAAATCCTGCCCAAAGTAGACCAGACTGGCTGGTTCGCTCGCCCTGCCAGCCTGCCCCCAGCGAGCCTTTAAAGTACATTCTGTGACTGCTACAAAGCTGGCACCGACTATAGCAAAGTCATTGTTTAGTCAAGGTAAAGTGACCTCTATTTACTCAGACAACTCAGCTGCCCACAGGGAATAACTGGCTCGCAGATAAGTGAAAATGTGCTGGGAAAGTTTCCCTCTGGCTGGGCCGGGGCTTGCGACAATCAGCTGAATGTTCGGGCAGTTCATGCCCTCTCTCCTGCAGTTTCTTCAGCCCTTTGATTTATTATCTGCAGCCAGACAGCAAATGACCCCGAGTCTGCGGTGAGCCGAAGACAGATGAGACTTGCTCAACTAAGTGTATTTTTCTGATCCCAATAAATACTCCGTTAATTATCACGGGCTGCCAGGCACCTGCCATAAGTTGTTTATTCGCGTATTAAAGGATGGCTTTAACCAAATCGGGTCTTTTTGCTGCTCGTTTCCCCCCTCAAATAACTGCGGGGCGAGTTAATTCCCGCAGCGGGGCAGGGGATGCTGAGCTGGGGAGGGTCTGGTGGGACCGGAGCATCACCCCGGGACCGCGTCTGCCGTGACTCAGCCGGGCTCTGAATCACGGAGCTTCTCCCGCTTCCTCCTTTCTCCGGGGGGCGGAGGTCGGAATTTCCTGCTGGCCCGTTGTCCTTGTAAATCACAAGTTCCTGCGGCAGCAAACGCTGCTGGGAGGTCAGCGAGTGGGAGAGCTGGAGCTGCTGCCCAGTTCCACCTGCTCTGGAGGAGTTCCTGCTGTCCCAGGCACTGTCCTCTTGCTCCACATCGTAGTTCAGTTCACCCTGGCACCTTCAGAGACCTGACAACCTGACTGGAGCTCCATACTCTCCATCCAGCAACCCAAGAACCCAATTCTCCTCTTACAATTCTCCTCTTACAACCCATGTGATTTC